CTTTTTTTTTTTTTAATTTTTTTTTTTAATGTATATTTATTTTTGACAGGCAGAGACAGAGCATGAGTGGGGAGGGGCAGAGAGAGAGCGAGACACAGAATCTGAAGAAGCTCCAGGCTCTGAGCTGTGTGCACAGAGCCCGATGTCGGGCTGTAACTCACGAACCACAAGATCGTGACCTGAGCTGAAAGTTAGACGCTTAACTGAGCCACCCAGGCGCCCTTTCCCTTAAGATTTCTTATAGCAAAGGTCTGCTGATGGTGAAGTCTCCTTGTTTTAGTTTATCTCCAAGTGTCTTTTGCCTTCATTGTGTTCTTCTTTTTTTTTAGGTTTATTTGTTTTAGAGAGAGTGGGGGAGGAGCAGAGAGAAAGGGAGGGAGAGAATCCCAAGCAGACCCCGCACAGTCAGCACAGAACCCGATGCGGGGCTCTAACTCGTGAACCATGAGATCATGACCTGAGCTGAAGTCAGGTGCTTAACCGACTGAGTCCCCCCAGGCACCCCTGCCTTCATTCTTGTCCACTGGATGTAGAATTCTGGGTTGACAGCTGTTGTGTTTTTTTTCTTTCGGTGGGTTCTTCCACTGTTTTTCTGGTTTCCTTGCTTTAGGTCAGAAGTTAGTGGTCATTTGAGTGGTTACTCCCCAGTATATAATGTGTTTTTTTTCCTAGCTGCTCTCAGATTTTTCTCTTGATTTTTTGTTTGCAGCAGTTTGATTATGATGTGCCTCGGTTTTATATACATGTGTCTTTTTTTTTTTTAAGTGTTGGATTTAACCAGAATAGATTTTTTTCATTTCCTTCAGTAATTCTCAATACCCAATGTGGGGCTCAAACTGGTGACCCTGAGATCAACAGTTGGATGCTCTTTGGCTGAGCCAACCAGGCGCCCCTATATGTATTTATCTTGACAGGGATTTGCTGGGCTTCTTTAGTCTGTAAATCTCTCTTGACAGATTTCACTTGGGTCATGATTTCTCAAAGATTTGCGCTGGCCCATTCTCTCTGTCCTCTGTCCTTCTGGGACCCCAACTACACACATCAGTCATTTTGATAATTGCCACACAGGTCTCTGAGGATCTGGTCCTTTTATTATTTTTTTCCTCTAATATTTTTTCTTTCGGTTCTTCAAATTGGATAATTTCTGTTGATCTAGTTTCAAGTTCGCTGCACCTTTCTCTCCAGTCTGCTGATAAGCCAATTCCAATAGAGCTTTTAGAGATTGTATTTTCAGTTCTAGAATTTCCTCTAAAAAAAAAAAAAAAATAGTAATTTCCATTCCTCTACTGTGGTTTCTCTTTATATCCTTGAGCATAGCTAAAGAAACTACTTTAAAGTCTTTTTCTGCTAATTCTAACCATATAGGTTACCTCAGGGCTGCTTCAAGGCCGCTGTGCAGATGCATGGTCCCAGTGTTAGCCAGAGACGTGGGAAGAGAATTTGGGGCTCCCATGTGGGGTGGATTCCATCACTGGAGCTGTAGGCAGAAAACTTATGAAGATGCAAAGTCCACCCAGATTTCGTTGATCAAAGCAAGTCATGTGGCCCAAGTCCAGAGCTGGGAAAGTACATTCCACTCACAGGCCGTGGCAAGGATGTGGATGCAAGAAGGGAGGGAGAATTGGTACCACTTCTCATGGGAGCCAGTCTACCATTCACGTGGTTGAAAAATAATACACAAAGGGTAGAGTTTTTTATGCAAATTCAGGCAAATAAAAATAGAAATTGGTGTTATCCCTACTCTCCTCCCCAACAGCATTCTATACACGCTGTTGTACATCTTCTTTCATACAACAGTAGATCTTGGGGATCTTTCTGTATCAGGACACAGAGAATTCTTTGTTCTTTTTTTCCCCCCAAGTGCATAATATCCTATTGTATGGTTGGTATTGCATAATACATAATACTTTATTTGTCCAGTCCCCTGTGGATGGATAGCTGCTACATTTGCATTCTTGTGCGGTGATCAGCATTGCTGTGATGAATGATGAACACTGCTTGCACAGATGTTTATCTGGAGAATAAATCCCCAGAAGTGAAATTGCAGGGTAAAGGGATAGACGCATGTGTGATTTTGATAGTTGTTGCCCGATTGTTCTCTCTGTAGTTACATCGCTTTACATTCCCAGCAGCTATGTGTCCTGTTTTCCACACAGAGTGGTTTTCAGACTTCAGATTTCTGCCAATCTAGTCAGGGCCCAGTGGATACATTTCTGAATTATGCGTGACATAGATTCCTTCTCATATATTTAAGAATGATTTCTGTTTCTTTTTCTCTGAACTTTGCCTTTTTTTTTTTTTTTAAACTTGGGTTGCTGGTTGTTTCTCATTTCTAGGAGACCTTTTATATATTTGTTGATGTGGATTGAAAATATTGAGAATTTGTCATTTTTCTTGGAGCTTTGTCTGATGTATTCATTACTGTCAAGTTCTCTGATCTCTCTCTAGTCGATCAGTCACAGTGGCAGGGCAGGGTTTAAACAGCTGTTAGCCTGGGTTTTCTTTCTTTTCTTACATTTCTTTCTTACATTTCTCACTCTCGTGTGCGCTCTCTCTCTCTCTCCCTCTATATATGTATTCACATTTTTGCCAAATGCTGAACATTTGGGTGTTAAAATCAGATGAGATAGAGGTGAGGCCCCTGTCATTATTATAGAATGAATAAAGTTCTGGAATACTCAAGTTTTATATTTAAAAAAAACTTGGGGCTCCTGGGTGTCTCAGTCAGTTGAGCATCCAACTCTTGATTTTGGCTATATGATCCCAGTACCTGAGCTGGATTGAGGCTCTGTGTTGTTACCAGCTCTGAAGTTATTAGCTTGCTTGGGATTCTCTCTCTCTCTCTCTCTCTCTCTCCCTCCCTCCCTCCCTCCCTCCCTCCCCTTTCCTCCCTGCCTTCCCTTCCTCTAATTTCTCTCTGCTCTCTTTGCTGATTTTAAAAAAAAAAATACATAAATAAAAAACCTTAAAAACAGTACAATTTTATTTTAGTAGGGTATTCGGAACACTGATTTGCATTTTGAGTCTCCAGGAGGAGATGGGAGTTTCCTTTCCTGGCATTTGGACCCTGTATGTTGTCCTAAATAAGGTGCTGGCCCTTTGCTAAGTGCCGTATGGACATTTCTCACTTAATCCTCAGGACGGCTTTGTGTACCTCAAGAGCTAAGATGATTCTCCTTCTGCAGGTGAACAGCCTGGGTCCCAGAAGGTTAAGATGCTTGCTCAAGTCTGTGGTGTCCAGGAGGTGCCCATGCTGGGACTCATGCCCCCTGTGTCTGCCCTTTCTCATCTCCCTGTTCTGTAGGCACCACATGGATGCCACTGTTTGCTCTCCGGGACAACTTTGCTTTTCTCTTACCAGGGCCACGATCATGTCTCTGGAGGACTTTGAGCAGCGTTTGAATCAAGCCATTGAGAGAAATGCCTTCCTGGAGAGTGAACTTGATGAGAAGGAGAATCTTCTCGAATCTGTTCAGCGCCTGAAAGATGAAGCCAGAGGTCAGGAAGACTTGGCTTTTTTCTGTGTGCCCTGACCGGTGTTTTCCCCTCTCCCTACCTGAGAACAGCTTCTCCTACAATGTTGCCCAGTATTACCTTTGCTGGAAATCTGTGACCTGTCCTAGTCAGAGGGCATAGAACCACACTGGGCAGGCCTTGTCCCCGCCCCATGGTAAGAATTGTCAGATGTCTGACCCTGTAAAGACCCTCTGTGGGTATTCAAATCACCACTGGCTTTTTGTTCAGCAGGAGTGTAAGAGTTTTGTGGGGAGAAAAGTCTTGATGGAATTGCTAGCTAGCTCATTGTTTCTCTGACCTGATGGCAGCCAAGGCAGTGGTTTCCAGCTCTGAATTCCCATCAGCATTTGCTCCGTGGAAATTTGCAGTTCTGGGGTAGATCTGGGTGCAGAAGAACTTCTTGAACATCCCAATTAATTGTTCATAACACTAATTTAGTTTCTAATGTATAGCCAGTAGAAGGGGGATTAAAAAGAAGAAACCTGCAGGTCTGAAAGGTAGTTCTGCAGTGGTTAAATAAATGACAGAGATTCATTTTATTTTATGTAACGTTAAACAGTTGTTAAAACAAATAAGGTATAGATGTGAATATGGCTAGATTAAGACCTACCGTTGAAGGAAGATAAATCGTAGACTGTAAACGTGTTTCTGTTTACACTTAGTAAGAATTATTCCTAACATACGCTTAATAGATAATAGATAAACTGTACATCTGAAAACGCAGAGAAAAAAGGATTGAAAATATCTCCCCCATATTATAGTGATAATGAGTCAGGAGGCCCATATGGGGGTTGGTGGGGAAAGTGTCTTTTCCCTTAGTATGCTGTATACCCTGTTGAGCTGGAAATATCTTGAAGCAAGTAAAGCATTAGTGTATCTATCAATGCCATAGTTTTTCAAAAATTTTAAACCTTTTTGTTTTTGTTTTGTTTTTATTTTTAAGTAGGCTCCATGCCCGTCATGGGGCTTGAACTCACAACCCTGAGATCAAGAGTCACACGTTCTAGGAGCACCTGGGTGGCTCAGTTGGTTAAGCTTCCAGCTTTGGCTCAGGTCATGATCTCACAGTTTGTGAGTTCAAGCCCCGCGTTGGGCTCCGTGCTCATGGTTCAGAGCCTGGAACCCACTTTGGATTCTGTGTCTCCCTCTCTCTCTGCCCCTCCACACTCATGCTCGCTCTCTGTATTAAAAATAAACAAAACATTAAAAAAAAAAAAGAGTCACATGTTCTACCTGCTGAACCAGCCAGGCGCCCCTAAACCTTTTTGGTTTTATTACAAAATCGTGTAGTTTCACAAGCCTGCTAGGCAAGGTCCTGTGGGTTTCACTCCCCTGAGGGTTTCCGCCCATGGGTTTTCATTCTGGTGCTTCTTTTCCGTGACCAGTGTCTACTGTCGACCCTCCCTTTGCCCCGTCTCCTGAAGCAAAGGCTTAATCTGAATCCTTGTCCTGGCTCAGATTTGCGGCAGGAATTGGCTGTGCAGCAGAAGCAGGAGAAACCCAGGACGCCCATGCCCAACTCGGTGGAGGCCAACAAGACAGACACAGCTGTGCAGGCCACGGGCTCCGTGCCGTCCACCCCCATAGCTCACCGGGGACCCAGCGCCAGCTTAAACACACCGGGGACGTTCAGACGTGGTAAGAGAACGGCAGTCAGGGGTATTTGCCTTGTTTCACCAAGCTCTCCCACGGGTAGGGTGCTGGGTCAGGGAGGTACTGGCACTGGCTGTGCTGCAGGGAGCAAACTGGGTGCTCAGAGGGGCAGAGCTTTGAGACAAACTGGAAGAGCTCGGGTGTGAGGCAGTAGGGAGCGGTGGAGTCTGCGGTGAGCCGGACAATGGAAGCTTCTTCCCAGGGGTGGCTGCCACTGTGCTCCCACCCCGTGACATGTGGGCCCAGCATTAGCGGACCTTTCCGTTCTTCATCAGAAGCCAGAAATCCTCTCGTTGAACGTGAACTCCTAAATTTAAAATTCCAGTGATCAGATAAAAAATTTAGAAAACGTTTCGTGGGTCTAGTGAGACGTGTGTCTAGAACTGGAGCTGGTGTAGCCTGGGGTGCATGGTTAAAAAAAAAAAAAAAACAAAAAACCCAACAACGAGAAATGGGAGATTTTGCCCCAGCTCCTCTGCTGATTCACAGAGGCTGTTATCAGGCTGCTTAATAGGAAATAACAGTTAGGCAGCTACTAGTGCTCCATGTGGGCTAGTTAGCCGCTGTGCTTAAAGTGCTTTGCATACGTGTGACCTCACTGAATTCTTAGCACTGGCCCAGGTGCCGTCCCCATTTGACAGATGAGGAGACTGAGGCCCTGAGGAAAGTAGCTCGCCTCAAGTCATATGGGCGGTAAATAGCAGAGCTGAGATTCAGACTCAGGCCAGCTGGCTCCAGAGCTCACATTCCCTGTTCCTGCCATATCCCTAGGCTCATCCCCTGGGATGAAGAGACTGGTGAGATTTCCAGAATGCCCATCTAGAGCAGTGTTTTCCACACTTTAGTATGCACATGACTCAGCGGGGCATCTCGTTCAAATGCACCTGAGATTGAGCGGGTCTGGGCGGGACCCGAGATCCTGCGCCCTAACCAGCACTCCAGTGATCCTGGTGCCTCTGGTCCCCGGCTCCTGCTTGGAGGAGAGAGGCTCTGGAGAGTTAAGACCCTTCCAGATGTGGTTTGCTTGGATGCTATTCATGTTCATTAACTGTATGGAATTCATAGAATTTCAAGAAGACTTGTTTGGATTTTGATTTAAAAGAGTAACGTGTAAAGGTGAACAGTTAATACAGTCATTGTAAGGCTGCAAAAGGTCGGTCATCCCATAGACTCCTCGCGTGTTAGTTAACTTTTGAGTGAAACGGGCAGCATCCAGGATCAGAGCATGGGGATTAGCCTCCCTGCCCCCTCACCAGGGTTCCACATGTAGGGACATGAGTGCACCGACTTAGACTGGGGATCGCTCTTATATGTGCTCCCTTTGCACACCCAGGTCTGGATGACTCCACGGGTGGGACCCCCCTCACGCCCGCAGCCCGGATATCGGCCCTCAACATTGTGGGAGACCTGCTGCGGAAAGTAGGGGTAAGACCGCCGCCTTCCCGGGTTTGGAGTGGTTCCTTGCCTGTGTTTCAGGATACCTGAGAGGGGCGACTTTACTGTTCCTTTCCCCTGTAACAGAGCGTCCCGTAGCGTCCCCTAGCGTCATTTGAGCTCCTGTGGGCTTTGTTGTTGACAAACACCCAGAGCTCTGACTCCATCAGCCCTTTGACCTCTGTGCATATCTTTCTTCCCCTGCCATTTTTCCTTGGAATTCGGGAAAGCTGGCTGGTGTCTGTGATGTTTTTCTTAATTTAAGAAAACTGAGAAACATTTGAAAGTTCTTTGCCTTTTAAATGAGGGAGTCAAAGACAACATCTCAAAGGGCTAGAGCAAAGAACTCGACTTGAGGTTTTACTTTCACTACAGGGAAAGATTTTTTGTGTGCGCTTAAGAAATAACACAGGTATTTTGTGTAGCTGTTGCTTGTGTTTTTTAAAATGATGCCTGGCGAATCACATGATTTAACTCCTGCCAGCCTGTCGTCAGCCAGAATGTATGTAGTCAGAGCTGCGCCTTCATAGAAGCTTGCGACTCTTTTCTCGTGTTTTTACTTTGAGATTTTGGTTTTCTGGTTTTCTGTTCTGTAAACATGTTTCTCTTTAAATGTTTTGCACAGTTAGAGTATAGATAAGCCTGGGGCGGTCTCAACGCTCTCTTGGTTTTTATGGGGTCTCTTTCCAACAAGGCACAGTCCTCCCACACAAGCCACTCTGTGCACGTTTGATAAAGGTAAACAAAAGAGTAGATCATCCCGAAAGTTGATTTCACGTTTCCCATAGGCAGAACTGGATCATTGGCAGGGCTGGTGATTTTCCAGGAAGCTCCTAACTGTCTTAGACCAGTGGCTCTAAAGGGCGGATGCACGCGGGGTTCCTTCAGGGCCCCACTCTTGGAACTCGCGCCCTACAACACAGTTCGAGAACCCCCGTTTGAGGTTATTGTCTGTGTACAGGCTCTGGGGACAGGGGAGGTCTGCTCTTGAACCTGAAAGATGAAAGCACGTTTCTATGCAGGCGCTGGAGTCCAAACTTGCATCCTGCCGGAACTTCGTGTACGATCAGTCCCCAAACCGAACAAGCGGCCCGGCCTCGGGGCGGGGGAGCAAACACAGAGATGGCGGTGGCGAGAGACAGCCAAGCAGCAGCGGCGTGCCTCTAGGTGACAAAGGGTCAGTACCTTTTTAGCTGTCCGCTCCTGGGGGGAGCCTCTCACCCCTGACCGATAGCCATTTTGTAAAAGTTGGAGGATCAGGTCAATGAACCTTAACCCTCCACCCCCTTGGGACGCAGTGAGGTGGTGTCTTCCGGTGAAGGTTAAGGGCGAATGGCCAGGAAGAGGCTCGTTTTTATTACTCGAATCTGCAGCCCCAGCTCCTGGTCATGCTGTGAGAATGTCCTGTATGAAACACTTGTTTGGGACTTGAGCTTCAAAAGCTTCTCTGTTTCCCCTAGAGGAGGATTTCTTTTTCCTTAAAAAGAAAAAAAAAAAAAAAA